GGAGGGCGACAAAGACGTGCACACATAAAAGAGGGACTTTCCATGAATTCGGCCTTTCTTTTCCCGTGAAGACGCTCACCCCACCCTCTCGGAGGATACTGCCGACCTGTTTTCACGCTCTCCCGCGGTACCGCGCAGCCTTATGAGACTCTGAGGGGAGGAAGGCTTACAGATGACGGTGCATGGTTTGAAGTTAGAAAAGACGTTTCCTCCTGAGGCAAAGTTTTTGCACGCCGCATTCGGGGAGACAGGGAACCTTCAAATTCAGTGCTTTCCTTATTTTTGTTTAGGTGGCGCTAGGGGAAGATTTTCGTTGTAGTGATAGGAATAATGTAGATTTCTCAATATTCCTGCAGCTGTTGTGTGCGATTCGTGTGCATAAGTATACCAGGAGACTGTAACTGTTATAGTTTAGGCTATGCATGCTTAGATTTCATTGCTATTTCAAGATAACAACGACTTTGTTGATGTTTACGGCACGATAAATTAAGACAATTCGCGAGCTTTGTTTCGCATTTCTGCTTACTTTATTGAAAAACGCTACGTTGAGGAAATAGATCAGGGGTTCTAGTTTATCTACGTGCAAATTCAGCAAACGAACTTCAGTAGTTCTCCGCAAAAATGGGCCACGGTAGGTCTATCTAATGAGAATATTGCCCAATTTAGATCAATATAATTAAAAAGTGAGCGGGCGTACATAAATAAAATTGAGCACTCAAACGGAAAATGACATCCTCTATATACACCCTTTTTTTTTGCTCCTTGCGGCCCCCTGGCTGATACGGCTATGTTTATTCGGAATTTTTGCGTATGCAACGAACAAAAAGGCTTCGAACACTGAGCGTGCGTTGTGTCCAATTCGAACTCCGTAGCCGAGCACATTTCTTTTAGGAAGAGCGTAAGATATGCCTGTTGTGTCGGGGTTGAAGTGGTCGCGACGCCGACGAACAAGAAGAGCGAAGCGCTGCAACACGCCGACTCTGCCCGGGGCAGCCATCTACGACTGTTTAGTTTCAAAGACTAGGTGAATTACGACTTCCTTCGTAGGTTCTTTTTCCGGTCTGCCTCGAAGATTCCATTCTCTTGCGACGCTACTTTGGCGTACGCTTGTTTTTTACAATATATTGTGCATGTACCCACTTTGGAGGATTGGCCAAGAATGTGACATTTAAATTGTTTTTTTCCCACCATCGCTCTTTTGTTCTTCATAGCGGCGGCGCACTTCCTATGCCTTTTCGTCATCGAGCGGCTCCGCGTCTATTTGTGAACACTGCATACTTTTTTTTTTTGGCGTTGGCGTTTCTCATTTCGTGTTTGGTTTCTTTTCTTTTTTTTCGTTTGGTGTAGTTTTTCCGGTTGCGATGGCATCTCGCATACCTCCATCATTTTTTCTCTCCACGCCCGAGGATCCGCCGATCCCTTGGCTGATTGGAAGTTCATTTTCGAAGCATATGTGGTGTGGTGTGTGGTGTAGTATAGTGACGTGGTGGTGTCTTTCAAGTGTGGTGGCACTGTGGTTTTATGTTAAATGGCCTCGGAGACGACGGCAGTGGTGCTTCTCGATTGAGTGGCGGAGATTGATGACGTCAGCGCGAAACGTCACGGATGAAACTGCGGCTCGCTAAAAGGAAGAAAAAGGTTGCGCGGCCAAGTCACGAGAGAGAAGAACAGGACAGTCAAAGACAAGTCGAGGGCAGAACGAGATCGAGCAGGCTGGAGGGAAGATCCTGGGGAACCCGTCACCGCGACTGCGGTGTCTGGTTCTGGTCCGAAACGCGTGAAGTCAGGCAAGGCCAGAACGCTCCAGCTGCCCACGGTGTACTCGGAGGTACACGGCCTTCCAGATTTCCGGCCATGACTGTTCAAGGTCACGTCCCAGGTATCCAGGTCTCGACCTTGGTCCTGAACGGCCCGTGGAGGGCAGAACCTGTCGGGTGGTGATCACCTTCTCGAAATGAGCCAGCGTCGGTAAGCAGCTGCAGTTCTTGCTAGGGCAATGGCTACCTCGTCTTTCGCCAAGCGTGGTCGTGCTGGTCAGCGCTTGACTCCAGCTCCTAAGACATTGCCAGCATCTGCCGCCTCAAGCCACCGCCACCATCATGCCACCGGTGACTGCTGATCTTTACAAACATTATAGCTGGACAACTTACAGGGCATGCCTTAGTTTGTCAGCTTAGACTCGGTGTGGGTACATTGCAACTTCATCTTTTTTTCTTCTTAATTATGCTTAATGTTTCTACTTTTCTTTTCTTACTTTAAACGGCTTCGTCATTTCTTAGCCCCGAGGCTTTTTTTACCGAGCAACAATTTAATCAACCTTAAACCTGCATCACACTTGGATGCTGTCGGGGAAGACGCCCGCAAGACAGAGCGGCAGAATGCCTTGCTGCTTAAGGCGTTGGCCACACCGGCCTGAAACTCCTGCCGGCCTGTAACGACGCAGGCGTCCTGCGCCCGTACAAGTTCATCGTCTCGATTGCGTGAGAGGAGGACCTTGTACGCATGCAATTAGAGCAGTTTGCTCCGTGTTGGGTGCAGCAACTCCGTGTTGGGTGCAGCAGTCTGTGGGGCCTCCTACTCGTGGCGCCTATTCGTTCCCGGTTCACGCCAACATGGCGGCCTTTCTTCTTCGTCTCGGGGGGGAAGGCCAAGATGGCTCCTCTTCGTCCCAGCAACGCCTCCTAAAAAAGTTATACCTAAAACGTAAGTAGCGAACGTGCCGCCCTACCCTCGGATTTTACCCTCCCCCTCTGGTTTGAAGGTGAAGGCCTGTTGCGGCCGCCCACTGTGAACACAGCAACGCTCTCACTGTTGCCTCCAAGCAGATGTGATGTCACGTGATAGAGCGGTTCGGCAATGTCACGTGACTGAGCGGTATGGAGGCGAGCGGTCCCACGTAGCGGACGGTCTCAACGCGGGGCAGGAGGCATGGCCTCGGAGATTTTGTGTTGGCAGGTAGCTCCAATCGAAAAGAGAGCGACGATCCAGGCATAGTTTTTCTAAGAGGCGTTGGTCCTAGCTCCAATGCAGTGCTCAACATGGCCGCCCATCAGCTTCGCGGGGCCGAGGAAGCCTCCAAAATGGCGCGTCCGCACTTTCGACGTCGCCTTTTCAAGGCCAACAGCAAGCTCCTAGCTGTGATGCAGCATGCAACATTCTTCTGCACAGTCGCCGCCTGCCTTTTGATTCCATAGTGGGACACAAGCATCAGCTTTCCTCTGTGACGTGACTATCAGCGGTAGTTTGAGGAGATAGTGTACATGCATATCAAGGTCATGAGACTCTCCATGTGTATGCTTTTGAAGAGAGTAAGTAAAAATAAAGTCGCCACAGTAAAATACAGTGAACGACAGGGAATCGAGTGATTGATATGTGGGGTTTAATGCCCCAAATCACTATATGATTAAGAGAGGCGTCGAAGTGGAGGGCTCCGGAAATTTTGACCATCTGGGGTTCTTCAACGTGCACCCAAATCTGAGCACACGGGCCTACAGCATTTGCTTTCGCCTCCAACGAAAATGCAGCCGCAGCAGCTGGGATTCGATCCAATGACCCGCAGGTTAAGGGCCGAGTACCTTAGCCATTAGACCACAGCGGCGAGTGTAAACGATAGGTAGAGTGACCGTTAGGAGCAATGGCCTTTCGTCACATCGTTGAATTGACAAGTCTTCAAAAACGTATAATTGCGCCGATTCGCCTAATCGGAGAAGACATTGTTAATTGTTATTCTCTGTGAAACGTAAATGGCATTGTCCTCGTCATGGTGAAGTGCGTTTCGCAAGTCAAGGACGGCTCTGCTTACAACGAAGAATCGGAGATATACGCATGTTTTTGTACATTCATAAATACATTCCGTTTTACTTACTTTGCTGAGCAGATAATTTATTACTGTCGATGTTTGTGAGATGTATATGAGAATCATTTTTATGTTAAGCTCTAATGTCAAGCAGCCTTGGCGCAGTGATAGGTTTTAGTCAACATTTTTTTTACTTTACTGCACGCATCAAGCATGCTTGCAATATGCAATAAGTAATTTATTGTAATGTATACTGCACGTTAGCAGCATGATTTCGCACGCGTTATTTTTTGGCCAGATTTTCTGGCAACCTTGGTTGACATTACAGCTGCACTGTGACTTTCGATAGCGTTGAGGATTTCCAATCGTAGAGGTTTTATTATGCAAAAAAAAAAAAGTAGAGGCTTTATTATGCAGCCTGCAAGGGCAAAGTAATCGTTATTGAGAAATGGTCAGTTGGTTTCAAACGAAAATGCACCTGGTATGAATCATGAGACTATATAGCTACACATATGTAAATGTCTTCCTCGCTGGGTTGTTTGCGCTAGAAAACTTCAATACGTGCAAAAACGTGCAATGTTCTCGTTTTACTTGTTTTTTTACCGTGTCTTTCGTTACCGTGCCCCCTGAAACGATAGCGTTGTGGCAAGGCGTCTTCCGTTGTTTGCAAGCGTGCAGCCGTCATTTTCCTTTACGTCAACATATTCAGAACTGTACAGAACATTTCACCATGCAGCACATATGCCATTGTTCTAACTAGGACACGTGCATTCATGTTTGCAGCACTTACACCGGCGTGAACAGAAGCAGCCTCGTACCACACAAAATCTCGAGAAGGAATATATTCTGGTCTTCTTCAGAGCATAGTGCACCATAATCAATTTCTCAGAATGCGTGAACTCGGACGAGAACTGCCAGCGCATGCAACACGAGTTTACTGACGCTGTACTGTGTCGGTTGTCTGTTTCGGGCATTCTGATGCGAGTCGCTGGAGCTTTACTGCTGGCATCAGCACCTTCGCGTTCATTTACGTTAGAATCTACCAGCCTTCTCCAGGAGCACAATCACAATCTCGAGACGTTTCGCCCCAGAGTAAGATAGTGGGAAAAAGCGACCTTGCAGGAACCTGGACGGAAGCGGAGTAAATGTATACCTCCCTTGTGGGGCACAACCACTTATGCAAATATCATGAAATTATTTCTATTACAAAAACGAAATATTAGACTAACTTGCAAGGTGCCCTATTTGTCACATACAGCTAAATTGTTTGCCAAATTGCGTTTCGTTCGAGTTCACTCACTATATGAATATAGGATTTATCGTTATTATAAACAATGCACAAAAGACCAAGACAATGCCTTACAAAACTTAGCCAACCTGAAAACAAATGTAGCATACAACACCCGAAACTCGGAGGAGTGGCAAGTGGCACGATGTCGCACAAACTATGAGAAGCAAATGGGTCGTTACCAGCTACCATCACTGTTGAACCAGTTGCAGAGAAGAAATGGCATTGATATAGACAAGCTATCAATAAAAGAGCTCCGTTATGTATGCATGTAATAAATCAGTGTTGTTCATAATATAAGAACCCTAATTCAAGGTTTGCGATGGGCTACCTTATTTTGTTGTGTAGCCAGGGGGGGGGGGGGGGGGGGGGAGGAGTTGAACCACTTTCTTGGCTATGCTACTAGAAAGTACTACCATCTGCAAATGTGAATGAACCTGAAGCACCCACAAACTCATCATTGCTGTAATATGCATTGCTTGACAATGCAAATAGCTGGGGTTTAGGTCTCTGTGCACAAGTTTTTCTTTTCCCTCGTCCAACTACAGATAGCTTGCACATGATGCCATGGACAGAGCTTCATAATGTTCTTGTTTGCCATCATGGGGTCTTGGATGACAGTGAAGGCAGTATGATCGCATTGCGGCTAATCTGCTTCAATATGATAATGATGCAGCGTCTATGATATTGGCTTCTATGTGTGAAAAACAAGAGAACCTGCAACTGATGTAACGATAACATTAACTAGTCCTCACAAACAATGCATACTACCGTACAGTGCACCAACATAGCAAGTTTTGCGACGGATGCACAAACCTTCTATAGGCCTTGGAAGCCTTTTGAAGAAAGATTTACTCTCGTCAACTACCATGTGAATGTTTTAATGTTGATTGTAGTGTTATTGCTTATCAGGCTCAGACGCAATCATGGACGGCTGAGTGCGTTAACAGCCGAATGACTGGTATCTTGGACAGGCTAGGTTTTTGACAGCACTGTAGTCTGCTACTACTTAAGAAGGCAGGAGAGGCCTTATTCAAAGTTCGAAAGCAGCCGATTGCTGTCGTGACGGCGGTTTGTCTCAGTCACGAGAAATGATCCCTTTCGTGTTCTCAGTCGTCGCCTCCAACATTAAGAGCCCCCCTGCGTTTCCACTCATGTCACTCTAGAGTGCGCGCACATTTTGTTAGTCTAGAGTGCGCACCCTAGACTGACGATGGTGTGTTCCAGTAATCACCGTAGATGGCTGAACGAACAGCTAAGTGGATAGTGCAGTACTCGGGTAGCTAGCAAAATAGGCCGCTTTGGGAAGATGGCATTGGAGACAAATACGACGCAAAATACTTTGCCGTCTAGACAAGATGCCGGTCAAACAGAAGGCCGAAAACTCTGAGTAGGTCCCCAGCTCGAAAGAAAACATCAACCAGCATTTGTTGCACGCTACATCAGAGGCACATTGAAGTTCTTACATTTGAGCTCAAAAGAGGTCAATAGCACACGTATTTCACTGAATATTCTTAGCTTTCTCTTGTCAACTCGACGTGGCGTCATGTCTTGCAAATGTCACGCAGACACATTCCATTCCTCTGGCGATGCTGCCTTGTAAGCCGTCCACTTGGACTGTGCACTATGCGGTCTAGTATTGGAATTCACCGGTTGAGGAGGCAATGTGTCTGCTTTGTAAAGCTGTACCTGACTATAATAACCTTGAATGGCAGTGCCATTGGGCCAAGTAATTTTGTGTTGTGCTCATCGTTGGCATCACTTCTTGGTTTTTCCAGGGTCGAGCCTTGCAGAGATGCCAACTGACCTCCGAAGCCTCCTGGCACTCAACCGTGCCTACCAAGCGTTGCTCGACAACGCCATCTGTGAGTTGGCAGAAAGGCTAGAAGAGAACAGGTACGGATTTTGAAACTAGCTAGAGTGGGAAAAGGAGTTAGAAGAAAAAGGGTTAATCATTGTAGCTTGACAGAGCTGGTGTTGCTGTAAATTCAGCAGTGGTTGACAAGACAGAAGAGCAAAAAGTAGTTGTAGGGGCTGTATTAGGTATGTAGTAAGTTGGAGAGATGGAAGTGTTGCTCCAAACGCGAAATGCTGCTTCATGCTGCTCCAAATAGTGGTGTTCGTTAGTAATTGCTCCAAACCTGCTCTGAAATGGCAATGAGATATGAAGAATGATGAACCTTTACTGTTTGACCACCTCCCAAGTCCTAAAGAAACTGAAAGGAATGTGTACACTATCATCCCAGTATGCTATTAGTGTGCAGCATTATCGGCTCTGATCACGTTTATGTGACAAAAACTGGCATATTAACCATACGAGTCATTTTATTGCTTTTTTTTGTCTTAGCTTGACGTGTAGGCCAGTGTGGTGAAATGTGAAAATGAGCAGAATTGCTATTATCTCGTACCAATTATCTATCTGCTTATTTGGCAACAGTCATGTGTGACTGTGGTTAGTTCTAAAATGTGGTGCTCAGCTTTACCGGATTTTGATTTCTGCTACAAGTACTGGTAGCTTAAATATATTGCTCATTTTGCTGCTCATTTGTTTTTGACAACCAGCCACTTTTAAATGTTGGCTTCTGGAAGTTTACATGTATTGTCTGTGAAATATATTTCATAATAAATAATTTTTACGGGATGCTTTGAACGCCAATTGACGTATGACAGATTTTGTAGCTGATCCTAAAACACCAATAACTGCTTCACGTAACAAATTTTTCGCTCCTAAAACACTTACGGCTGCTCCAAAACAGTACTTTTTCGTCTTTAAATTATGCTCCAAAAAAAATAAAACGTCACTCCCTTCTTTGTAAGTAGCAAGTATCAGTTTCACAGTGGTGTTCCTGATTGTAGTAGGGGTAGTATTTGTAGTAGCAGGGGCTAGCTCTAGGTAGGCAGCTTTGCAGAGGCGTTCTTGATAACATCATTGTCTAAGCTAGTTTCTTCAGTTTGCTCGAAAACATCTTATAGGGATTTTCGAAGAGTGCTCGTGCGTACGCCAATGCCAAGCACTAGTGTTCTCATTTGCATTCACGCTCTCCCTGGTGTGTCCAATCCAGGCAGCTGAGGATGGAGCTTTTGGCAAAGCTCTCCGAGCGATCTGCGCGACCCGCAAAGCCGAAGGTGCGCAAAAACTGGTACCACTCGCTGGTGTTCCACCACCCGTACTTCAGGGACATCAATGGAATGCGGGCGCCCATGAACGAAGATGAGAAGATCAAGCGAGCCAACAAGGAGATGGACCCGTACCTCACCCCACCTTTGCATTGGAGCGCCGAGGAAAACCGCATGCTAGTAAGTGCTGGGGGGCTGTGTGTACTCGTGAGGGCCAAATTTCCACGTGCACTTACTTCTTTATTGGATGTCTTTGTGTTTCACTCCGAAAAGCTGTTAGCACCGCACGCCGCCCTGCATTGTTTGGGACGCTTTGAGATTGTTTGAGTATTCGCCACCACAGTGGTGTAGGACTTTCTCAAAGGTCACGGAATCGATTCCCGCCCTTGGTAGCTGCGTTTCGTTAGATTCCTATTGCTAGAGACCTGTATGCTTAGATTTAGGTGCACATAGAAAAATTCCAGGGGGTCGAAACTTTCGGTGCCCTTATCTGTGCCATTGGTTGGTTGGTAAGAACTTTATTGGAAGTAGGGCAGAGCTTTCGCCGACCGGACCTTAGGTCTCCCGCGTGGGGACGTCAAGCTGTGCCATCTCTCATAATTATATTATAGTTTTAAGATGTACAAGCTCAGAAAATTATTGTGAATATATATGTATTATTATGAGAAGCGTTCTGTTGAAAGACTATGCACAGTACGTGAAAAGTCTTATGTGGGACATTACGCCAGCATTAGTGATAACACTGGAAGGTTTGACCACTTATATATAATGGGTGATGCGTTCTGCCAATGATCAGATTGTCAACGGTTGTTGACTTTGATCGCCGCTATAATTGCTGTGTGGAGGGAATAATTTGTACATAAGAAGACTTACCCCCGTATTCAGAAACACTTCTCGACTTGAACTTGACTTGAAACCACCTTCAATGCTGCGCATTTTAAATGCGTCTATGCGTTTTGCTGCCTTGACACCGCATAAATACAGTGCATTTGAAACGCGTTTGTGCTGCATTGAAGTCGGTGGCAAAGTTGAAGTCAAGCAGCGTTTCTGAATACAGGGGTTGTCGACTTTGCCCCAGGTGGTCTAGTGGCTAAGGTACTCGGCTGCTGACCCGCAGGTCGCGGGATCGAATGCCAGCTGCGGCGGCTGCATTCTCAATGGAAGCTAAAATGCTGTAGGCCTGTGTGCTCAGATTCGAGTGCACGTTAAGGGCCCTATGTGGTTGAAATTTCTGTAGCCTTCCACTACGGCGTCTCTTATAATCATACGGTGGGTTTAGGACGGTAAATCCCCCAAGTCAGTCAAGACTTAGTTATCCGGGCACATGTTTGCCCGCTATAGAGCTTCATCTCCACCAGCAAGATTGCGACCTTCTTCACAGGCGTCACCTTGTGATAGTATGCCTCCACTCTAGCGAGTCCACTAGTAGAGGTCGTCGGTGATTAGTGCCACCAAAGAGGTTCCTTGCCATGCACATTTTCTAAAGTTCAGGCTTTCTTGTAGCGCAAGTCTCAGAAGCACCCTGGGCAACAACCTCAAGAGCAGCTATGATAGGCACAAATGGGGTAACTCCTGTCAAAGGCATGCCTCAACCTACGCCTTCTTTATTTCTTTCAGTGCCGGTGAAAATGGGCACTTGTCAGCGTGAGCTGCCTCAAGCAGTGGTTATGATGTAACGCTACATGATGGGTAGCACTGTTTGCGTCACATGTGCTTCTGAGTGCTTTGCCCTGGAGATGCAATAATGTGTTTCCCACTCCAATATCGTACATTTGTCAGACTTGTTCCTTCGGGCTCTTTGTCGCGGCTCGAAGCAATGCTGCCTCCGCATCACAGCGCAGCGCATGCAGTAGCGTTGCAGTGGCGCTTCCTTAATGGTTGCCCGCATAGCGTCACGAAAGGCAACACACTATCTCAAAACACCATATCTTTTACAGAGCCAGTGTGACCACCAGTATTGCGTGCACGAGGAATGGAAGACGCTGCCCCACGGATCTGTAAACAACTGGACAAAAAATGACTTTGTATTGTTACTGTGGTGAGGTTTGTGAGCGGTTCTCTCCCACATGACCGTAAAGCACATGATAAGGCTAGGTGATGGGCGAGAGGGGAAAAGGACTAGTGGAGGGGGTGGTAAATGGCTGGATCGGGCGCATCTGGCTGGCATTGCTAAAATAGAGGAGGCGTTCCCTTATTGAAAGAAAAGTGGCGACCCTGATCCAGAGTATTCCTTTACACCGCTGTATGTGCAATGAGGATCCATGGCACTACTGTGGCCATTGAGCTGAGACCTCCGCCTAATGTGCCAAACTGCTCCAGAGGAGATTCGTTAAGGCATAGGCGAATAATTAAATGCTTTGAATATTCAAACGATTATTGTGTATTCAAGTTCACTGAGACATAAACCTAAATTTGAAATTTTTAATTATTCTTAGTGGACGAACAGATGCTTGTTATTTGAGTGCATATAGCACCCTTGTCAAGGTCGTTTCTTACGTCATGAAACTGCTATGCCTTGAAACCTCCTATCCGGAGGAAATCCGCGTGCCGCGTACTCGCACGTGCAGGTTTAAAGCAATACCGAGAGAAAAATTTTGGCCTTGTGTTTTTGTGCTGCAGTCTGTTGCCGGAGGCCTGCTAGTCGTAACGCAGTACATCGTTTGCTGTAGCATAAAACAGGTAATTACAGGCTCTCTGTTACCTACCAGTCTTCGTTTCGGCACGAGAGCTCTCCAAAACAACAAGCTGCCGAGTGAAACTGTCACCACTTCGCGTATGCAACGTTCAACTGCTTCAGCACACAGAACTGGGACGCATTTCCGCGCAGTCCCCATCTAGAAGTGCTCTCCAAGAGTAAACGAGACAGCAGTGTCTCCAAACGCAAAACTGTCAATGCGTGCGCCGTGGCCATGAATTCACAAGCAGCTGCCGAGGAATAGTCAGCTGGTGCAAATGTGATAAAAAGAGAAATCGAAGCTATGATGTTGTCATAACTTGTTGAAGCGTAGTCACATTAGGGAAGTGGGGGGGTCACCAAGTGTTACCTTTGAGGTTGTCAACTGTACGAGGGAATCTATTGTTTATGCGAATTTCAAAATTAATTTAAAATGCCCTTCAAGATCTAGTTGCTCTTGATATTTTGCAGATGATATACACATTCTCACAAGAATATAGATTTCGGAGGCCATCTCTGCCATAAGATTTTGTGTCGGTACCCATTTAATCTACAAATTGCCTTCACCTCGATCAATTATTTCACACAGCTTGTTATGCAGACTTATGTGTGATTAGCATAGCAAGTTTTAAAGTAATATATTTCGACTCTTATAATTTTCATAATTTTTCATCCTACTTCTGCTGAAGTTTTTCTACTTTTCAATGTTACTTCTACTCAGCTTCGAACCAATAAGGTGGCATTCGCACACACCTTGTTTCAATTCTTGAAATATTGTGCAGGTTACCTTGGCCTTGAGAAGATAGCCTATTTTTCTTTATAATATATGGTATGTGCTATTCTATCTACCCGGTTCAAAATTATTAAACTAAATTACTATTTTCACTATTAGGGTAGTCTGCCATGCACCAGTATGAACCAGTTCAGATCGGTGCCAGCAAATCAAACAAACCCAAGGTTGAAGTGTGTCTCCTGAAGACAATTCATCGTATATTTTTTCACATTTCTTAGGAGCACATTCAAGGGCCATTTTTAGGCGTGCGTGAATATTCGAACTTCCGAATATTTCTTCAAATAGTGTTTAGTATTCGATTCACAATGAAATTTTGACTTTTAGCGGTGCAGTCGAACCGCGCTGCAACGAACGCCGCTTTAACAAAATTTCCGCCTCAACAAAGTATTTCTTATTCCCCGTCGGCTTGCCCTAGAAGTCAATGCATCAGAGCTCTTGCTACAATGAAACATTTTTCGGGCTTGTGTTCGCTTCAACGAAACTTTCGCTCAGCGGCGCTTGGATTGAAAATTTGTTCGATGGTTAAGTCAGCGCATCGCCAACTGTGCAACTTTTCAAACATTGATGACACTTTGTTTCACCGAAAATGTGCGGCCATTGCACGCTGCACCGCATGTAAACAAAAGTTATGGAGAGCGCCATTGATTGGTGGTGATGACGATGCGGCTGGTTGCCTTGCGACGCGGCGCTGTCCTGCTTTGCCAAGGCAGAGCCACAGCCAACACGTATCCATGCCAGGTCATGTGATCATCTGTTACTTAAGCTGCCAAGACGATCATTGCGCTTAATTCGTGCTTGTGTGCTCGCGTATGTAGAACTCTGCGCCACCATGGCAGCAAAGCGCAAGTTTCTTACTCTCGAGGTAAAGGCGCGTATCATCAGCGAAGCTTCAACCGGCAGAAAAAAAGGAGGCATTGCTGCGGAATTCGGCATCTCCAACAGCCTGCTGTCCACATCCACAATTTTGAAGGTGAAGGACGTGATCACTAGTGCTATTTCGGCAGGGACGTCCACAAAGTGCAAGAAGTAGACATCTTCGGCACACGGGGATCTTTGAATTTTGTTTGTATTCTAGGCATTGAGGACATTGAGCAGAGGTTGGCTGACATGTTTCAAAGCCCAGCATGACATGGTAGGAAAAGTGTTGTGCGGCGAGTCTGCGGCAACAGACGCCAATGGTGCAGTGACTTGGCATCGTCTGCTTTTCTGGACATACTGAAAGACTACTGTCTCGTCCGACATTTATAATGCGGACGAGACAAGACATTTTTATGAACTGCTTCCGAAAAAGACTCTGCATATAAAGGGCCATGCATCCAGCGGAGGGAAACACAGCAAGAAATGTGCGACCGCTTCTTGCACTAACATGGATGGTTCTGATAAACACTGCCCACTTGTCATTCGCAAGAGTTTGAGGCCTCGATGCCTCAAAGGCTGCAGAATCTTGCCAGTAAAGTACGTGGCAAACAAACAATAGTGGATGACACGGGTCATCTTCTGTGATTGGATAAAGGCGTGTAACCGAGAAATGAAGGGCCAAAACCGCAAGGTGTGCTTGCTTATTGATAACTGCTCAGCTCATAACGTTAACGTTTAGCTGGGCAATGTGTACGTGCAATTCTTCCCACATAACCGCATGGCTTTGATTCAGTCGTTAGCTCAGGGCATAATTCGCAGCACTAAATGTGCTTATTGGCAGCAGCTCATTCAGCG